TTGCCCATAGTATAAAGTGTGGAAACTTTACGTTCAGTTCCTGACCTTCCCAAGCCATGACCTACCCCAGACTGAACCGAGGAGCGGCAGGCGGCCCTGGGAATCGTCACTGCCCGACGCTGTGGGGTCTACAGGGGCCAGCAAAACCCCTCTGCACAGCCTGTGCTGGGGCAGGGACAGTCAGTCTGCAAGTGCTGCCACGGCCTGACACCTCAGAGAGTGGTTTGTGTTCCTGCAGGGTCCAGACAGACCCAGAGTGCGATGGAGAAACTCCAAGAAATGTGATTCCAGAGAAAAGAGCGAGATTTGGCAGGAGGAACACCTCTCTCCATGCCAGGAGCCAAGAGAAGAAGGATCAGTTTCTGCTTTTGCTGCCTAGCCCAACTCCTGGCTCAGCCAGGAACACCAGCAATGCTCAGGCCAGACACCCCTGTGGCTTCACTGGGGAAGGGTCCCCTGCTGCACCCCCAGCCCTGCTCCTGCTGCCACCAGAGATCCCTCTGCCATCAGAGATCTCTCTGCTATCACAGATCCCTCTGCCATCACAGATCCCTCTGCCATCACAGATCCCTCTGCCATCAGAGATCCCTCTGCCATCACCAGATCCCTCTGCCATCAGAGATCCCTCTGCCATCAGAGATCCCTGCTGCCATCACCAGATCCCTGCTGCCATCACAGATCCCTGTGCCATCAGAAATCCCTGCTGCCATCGGAGATCCCTCTGCCATCACAGATCCCTCTGCCATCACCAGATCCCTCTGCCATCACCAGATCCCTGTGCCATCACAGATCCCTGTGCCATCAGAGATCCCTCTGCCATCAGAGATCCCTGCTGCCATCACAGATCCCTGCTGCCATCGGAGATCCCTCTGCCATCACAGATCCCTCTGCCATCAGAGATCCCTCTGCTATCAGAGATCTCTCTGCTATCACACATCCCTCTGCCATCACAGATCCCTGCTGCCATCACATATCCCTGCTCCCAGTGCTTGCTCTCCAGCTACCCCAGCAGACTGCCACCACACTCCTGCCACCACCAAGTGATGGCACTGCCAGTGTCCCCACCTGTGCCGTGCCCCTGACCAGGCCCAGGGGAGCACTTGGACCCCCAGCCCCACTCGACCCTCACATTCCCACATTCCCAGGGACCAGCCCAGCACCCACTGCCACGGAGGGAGGAAAACAAGTTCCTGGTGCAAAATGAGGAGTAGATGCAGCTTGTCGCAGCACTCCCAAAGAGATCCAGATCCTGAACGGGACTGCTCTGGCTCACCAAGCTTCAGTGCTGGGGAAACCCAGACTGCAATAAAACAGGAACCTCAGGAAGAGTGACAGGAAAATCACTGCGAGTAGGAGCAGCACGGAGAGGGCCTGGCAGACCTGGCAGAGTGATGGCAAAATGGAATTCTACAGGATGGTGAGGAAACTCCTCAAGAGAAGAAAGGAAGTGAAAACAGCTTTGGATGCACAAGCCTTCCACCATCCCAGGCAAGGGAGAAACACCAGAGCAATGGAATCCCAGCTGGAATCAATCCTGTGCTAGGACAGGAGTTGCCAAAAACCACCTATTGTTGATTCAGGGTGGAGAAAGGGAATGAAAACCCACCAGATCATCCACCACAGAGCCCCACAGGCAGCGATGGGAAGGCACCAGGAGCAGCTCTCCCGGCTCCAAATGAAAACACAAGCACAAGGAGCACCAAGGAGAAGGGAGATGGATTCCCATGGATTCAATCCACCAGCCTAACAAAGCCAAAGCCAGGCTTCCACCTTGGCTTTGGGAAAGAGAACCACAAGGTAAAGGCTCCCACACTTCATCACGGAGAGGAGTCGTTTCTCTTGAACATTCCGAGCTGTACCTCTCTGGAAGAGGAGAGTGTGCCAGAGCACCAGTGCTGCCTCCAGGCCACCCAACCATAGGGAAAAAAAAAAGCAATCAATAATCAATAATCACCTTTAGCTCCCGCTTGCGGTTCCGGTCGCTGTTGGATTTGGAGTGCCGGGAGCTCCGTCCTTCCTCCACTGCCTCAAAGAGTTTGTCTACAAATCGCAAGGTGGAATCATCCAGGAAGGGTTTGAGGTGGTCTGGAAAAGAGGAAAATCCCATCAGTGCAGAATTCTGAGCGTGGAGACTCCACATGGAAGATGTAAACCACCTCAGTTTAAGTGTGATTCAAGTCTACAAGCACAGGGAGGTCTGGAAGCCTCTGTGATCTGTGGGCTGTGTTGTCAGGAGCTTTAAACTAAGGGATTAAGGGAGTCCAGGTCTCATGCAGAATCAAAGCAAGGCTGTAAGGGGCAAAAAAAGCACACTAAAAAAATTACCTTTTACAGTTCCTCGAATAAGGAATTATTTTTTATTCATCAGATTTTTTAACACATCCCAAGGCCTCCAGCTGAGTCTGGTTTGATGGATTTTCCCCTACTCACCTCATGGAGGCTGAGAGAACTGCCCTGTGCCCCTGCCCCTCCACCCTGGTGAGGTTTTGGGCTGTTTTAGAGACCCAACTGAGGACATACCGGCCGCTTTCTAAAGCACACTAAAAAAATTACCTTTTACAGTTCCTCAAATAAGGAATTAATTTTTCCTCATCAGATTTTTTAACACATCCCAAGGTCTCCAGCTGAGTTTGGTTTGATGGATTTTCCCCTACTCACCTCATGGAGGCTGAGAGAACTGCCCTGTGCCCCTGCCCCTCCACCCTGGTGAGGTTTTGGGCTGTTTTACAGCCCCGGCTGAGGACGTACCGGCCGCTTTCTTCTTGTCCATGCCCTTGCCCACGCAGTTGAGCGCGGCGGTGACCACGGTGGGCTCCGAGAAGCCGAGCACGCGCTTCACCGTCTTCTCGATCCATGGCTTCAGCTCGTCCAGCTCGCGCTTGGACAGCGACATCTCTGCTCGGCTGCGAGGGACACAGCGCGTCACACACGGGCCTGGGGTGTCGTCACCCTCGCACCTTCCTCCCTCAGGATCAGCTCCACGGCTGGGAAAGCTCTCGTGGGCTCCCCTGCGGGCTAAAACAAGCAAACCCCATGAGGAGGGAGGTCCTGGCCCCACACAGGGGACGCAGGACCTGCTGTGGATCCCAGAGGGACACGCCAGAGCGCTCCTGTGCTTCCAAAACCAGCCAGGAATGTGTGTTCTCAGGATAACCCTTCCCACTCTGGCTCCTCCCTGAGTTCCCCTGGTCTCTCCGTGCTGCCAGCCCGGTGACAAAGCCTCTGAGCTCCCCAAATCCCTCCATGGGATGCTCCAGGGGTTGGGAAGAGAGATACACTGCGAGGGGAACACGTAGGACAGAACCCCCCTGCTCCCCCTGAGCCCACGTCAGGGGCACAAAACAATCTGAGCCCCTTCCCCGGCGTGCAGCCCCAGATCTGGGCAGTTCCCTGGCAGACACAGCCCCTCACATCCTGCAGCACTCACAGGCTGCGGCTGCAACTGCTTTTCACTGGCTCCGGGCCCTAATCCGATCTGGGAAAATCTCCTTAGGGCTGAGCCCCACCACGGCACCCAGGTGGGGCTGTGGGAACGGACACCTGGCACAGCTGTGCTTCCTGGAGCTGGGATGGTGCTCAGTTATCCCTCCTGGAGCTGGGAATGGTGTTCAGTTATCCCTCCTGGAGCTGGGAATGGTGCTCAGTTATCCCTCCTGGAGCTGGGAATGGGCTCCTGGGGTTCAATGGGGTCCTGGGGTTCAGTTATCCTTCCTGGAACTGGGAATGGTGTTCACTTATCCTTCCTGGAACTGGGAATGATGTTCAGTTATCCTTCCTGGAGCTGGGAATGGGCTCCTGGGGTTCACTTATCCCTCCTGGGAATGGGGCCCTGGGGTTCAGTTATCCTTCCTGGAGCTGGGAATGGGGCCCTGGGGTTCACTTATCCTTCCTGGAGCTGGGAATAGTCTTCACTTATCCTTCCTGGAACTGGGAATGATGTTCAGTTATCCCTCCTGGGGCTGGGAATGGGCTCCTGGGGTCATCCCTAACGCAAATCCCCTGATTTCAGGTCCATGAGCAGTTCCAGGAGGTGACTGCTGCTTCCTGCAGGGCCCCAGGAGCTGGGGAATCTGCACTGTCCTACCGAGCAGTCCTCCACAGAGGACACGGCTCTGGTTTCCCTCCAGAGCCTGGAAACCTCCTCAGGCTCTGCTTTTCCTGGCAGCTTCCTTAGAGACAGGTTCAAATAGAGCCCAAACCCGGATCCTGGCGTTTCCCCACGAGTTCTGAGCCGCCAGAGGCTAAGGACAAGCAGAACTAACAAATCACGGCCCCGACACAGCACCAGCTCTGAGCACACCCGGAATAAACCACAAAACTCGTGTAATTAGAACCTGAGCTCCAGCAGGAGCTGAGGGGAGGCAGCGGCTCCCCGGCAGTTCCCGTGCCACACCGGGCGGGCAGAGCCACGGCGGGGAGCAGCTCGTGGGGATGCGACCCCCGGAACCCGCATCAGGATCAATGAACGTGTCCGAGCACCGCCCGACCGCGCCGGGGCTCCGCCGCCCGCTCCGGCCTCACACGGACGGAGCTCGGTCCCACCGGAGACACGCGGCTCCTGCCGGCCCCGCTCCCGCGCAGCCCCGCAGGGCCCGGCGTGCCGCGCTGCCGCGGAGCTCCGCCCGGGCCCGGCCCGGCCCCCTCAGCGCGGCGCGCCGGGCGAGCGGCTCCGCGCGGGCCGGGCCCGGGGCCACCTCCGCCACCGCCTGCCTCCCTCTCGGTAGCCCACCCGCTTTCCCCGTTGCCTCCACGCCCTCCGGGGAGCCGCAGTTTTCCTCACCGGCCCCGTTCCCTCACGCCGGTCCCGGTCCCGGCCCGGCGGCCCCTGACGGTGACGGCGCGTCGGGGCGGAAGCGGAAACGGGCGCGCGGCGCCTGCGCGGCGGAGCGCGCGGGGAGGGCGGGGCCCCGGGGGCGCGCGCCGGAGAAGGGGCGTGGTCCCTCTTAGCCCCGCCCACCGCCCCGCCCCCTTCCCCTCAGCCCGTCATTAACCAAACTCAATTAACGGGAGCGAGAGTCTTTATTGGGGCCCGCCGCTCCTCAGCAGCCCGGCCACGGGTCCTGGCGGGCGCTCCGCGCCAGGAAGGCGATCCTGCGCGCCATCTCGGCGCAGTACACCCGCCGGCACGCCTCGAACGCCCGCCGCCGCCGCGCCCGGCTCGGCTGCTCGTAGTAACGGGAGCGCCGCACCGCCTCGGCCACGCCGTCCTGCGCCAGGATCCTGCGGGAGGGAGAGAGCGTGACAGGGCGGGGAAGGGTCTGCCGGGAGAGAGGAACGGGCACGGCTCGGTCCGTGCGGACCCTGGGCTCGGTTCGGTCCGTGCGGACCCCGGGCTCGGTTCGGTCCCCGTGCGGACCCTGGGCTCGGTTCGGTCCGTGCGGACCGTGGGCTCGGTCCCCGTGCGGACCCCCGGGCTCGGTCTCCTCGCCGTCCCTCCGCGAGGGGGGGAAGGAACCCCCCGAGCTCCGTTAAAGGCGGCTCCAACGAAGGGGGCAGCGGGACGTGGAGCTCATGGGGAAAGCCCCACGCCACCCTCCCGTCACCTTCTGCTCCAGAAATTCTGGTTCTGAACCAGCACGTGAAGGAACTGGAGCCCCTCGGGGCCCAAACCCCGGTCCCGCCGTTCCCCCGCTCCTCACCGGTTCAGGACGCCGTACGCCGCCTCCACGTTTCCGTTCTGCACCATCACCGTGCGGCCCACGAAGCGCAGGTGGTTGGCCATGGCCGCGCTGCTGCGGGACGGACCGGCTGGGACCGGGCAGCCCGGGGCTCGCCGGAGCCCGTCCCTCCTCCCCCCGCCCCGGACACGGCAGCGAACCGCGGGTACGGACACGGGCCGGTCCCTCCCGCCCCTCTCCCGGGGGACACGGAGGGCTCGGTTCTTCCCAAGGGAACCCGCAGGGACCCGCCGCCCCACGAACGGTGTCGTGCTCCCGCCCGGCTCCCGGTGCCGCTGCTCTCCCCAACTGACCCCGGTGCAGCTCCGCGCCCCGTGACTGACGGACGAACTTCCGTCGGGAGGGACTTCCGCTACCGCCGGTACTTCCGGCGGGGAGAGCCCCGGTACCGGGGGAACCCGCGGGGCACCGAGGGCGGCTCTGAGCCCGCCGGGACAGGAGCGCACCCCCCGCCCCGCCCCGGCACAGAGGACACGACACCGGCTGGCCCCGGCCGCTCCCGCGGCGTTTATTGCTTCCAGCGGGGCCCTCCCCGCTCGGGGGTCCGCACCCACCGCTCGGGGGTCCGCACCCTCCGCGCTCACGGGGGAAGGCACAAGCCCGGGAGAGCCCGGTCCCCGCGGGGAGGGGGCTCCGCTCCGGCCAAGGCACGCGGCCGCCCCGCGGTTGGGGCTTTTGGGGTGGGGGGAGGTTGGGACCCCTCCCGGGACCCCTCCCGGGACCCCTCCCCCGGTCAGTCCCGCCCGCCCGCGGGTCTCACTGACATCCCGTAAAAAAAAAAAAAAAAACAAAAAACAATCAAAAAAGGCAAAACCAAGAAATGCAGACGAGATCTTCCCCCCCCCAAGAGCCGGGGGGGGCGTCACACGTCCGGCGCCGGGGGCGACTCGGGGGTCCCGGCTTGGCACTGGGGGGACCCCCGCTGCTGTAGTGTCCCCGCGGGGCTGCCGAGGGGGAGGTCCCCGGGCAGGCGGCGGCACCGGGGAGCCCCGGGGGGACCGGCGGGGGGGCGGCGGCGCGGGGGAGCCGTGGAGGGGGTCGAGTCCAGCGTGGGTTTGGGGGCGACGTGGGGGAACCAGAGCCGCAGCATCGCCTCCACCTGCAGCAGCGTCCCCAGGTAGCGGGCACTGCGGGGACAGAGCTCTGTCACCCTCTGCGGAGGGGGTGTCACCGTGCCCGCCCCCCCGGGGATGGCTGGGGACCCTCACCCCATTTCTGGCTTCTGCAGGACCCCAATGATCCGCTGGAGCCGGTCCATGGCCACGCTCTGCTGGAAGCTGCTCAGCCCTGGGGAGTCCCGAAATGGGGTGAATTCTCCCCAGAGGGAAAGGGATGCTCTGAGGGGCAGGAGGGTGTGGGGGGCACCCACCTCTGTCGTACCGGCCCCGCCGCAGCCCCTCCAGCAGCTCGGCCAGCGGCCGGATGAAGCCCCGGAGCTCCTGGCACTGCGAGGAAGAGGAGGCGGAGGTGACTGGGCTGCACCCAGACTGGGGAGGGGGTCTGGTGCACCCCCTCACACCCCACTTACCTCCCTCTCACCCCTCAATCCTGCTCATCCCCACCCGCCCGTTTCAGTGGGGAAACTGAGGCACACCCAGGGGTTTTTTTTAGGGGACCAAGCCCTCCCTCACCTCCCATCTTTGGGGGTGCCCCTTCGTTTTCTGCCAAAAAACTCACCTTTTGGGCAAAGAGGCGATCGCCATCGCTGGGAGGGACGTCCCCCCCCTCTCCTTTCCGCGGGCGCTTCCCCCCGCGGGGTGACGGCGGCGATTCGGGGGGTGCTCGGTCCAGCCCCCCCGGGCGCTTGCGGCTGCGCTCGGGTCTGGGGGGGCTCCGGGGTGAGCTGCCGGGCTCGGCCTCGCTGTCAGAGGCAGGGGAGCCGCAGGAGCAGGTGCGGGCGGGGGGCTCCATGGCGGGGGTGGCCCCCCCAGGGCAGCCTGTCCCTGCGTTCAGCTCCAGCAGGGTCAAACAGCCGAGGCTGTCTGGGGGAGGAGGGAGGGAAACACCGGGGGGGATATCGGACAAAAATGGAAGACAACGGACTGCCTCGTTCTCCCGTGGGGTGTCATCCCCACAGCCCCAGTGCTGCCTCACATGCCCTGGGGGGGCACATTTGGCACCTCCTCAGACAGGATGGGAGTGCGGGGACCCACCTGGGACCTCTCACCCAGGACCACCCCCAGCCCCAGGACACGCCCCTCTCCCCCCGCCCCCAGTTCCAGAACCCCCTCCCAGCCCCGGGACTGCCCAGTCCCGGGACCCCCCAGCAGCTCCCCTCCCTCCATCACCGGCCGCCCCCTCCCCAGGACTGAATCCTCCCTGCAGGAGCCCCACCCGTGATGGGGACCTTCCCCCCCGCGCTGGGACCCCCAGGACCTCCCCACCCAGCCCCGGTCACCCCGGACCCCACCTGCTCCCGGCTGCACCTGCGGTGATGCCGGTGTCCCTGTCTCAGCGCCTGTGCCCCGCCGCCGGTGTCGCCGTTCCCGTCCCTGACCCAGTGCCGGTATCACTATTCCAGTATCGCTGTGCCGGTATCGGCGTCCCGCTGCCGGTGTGGCTGTCCCCGTTTCCCGGCCGGTGCGAGTGTCGCTGAGCGGGTGCCGCTGTGGCCGTGCCGGTGTCCCGGTGCCGGTGCCGCGGTTCCGGTGTCCCGCTCTCCGTGCCCGGTCCCGGTGCCGGTCCCGCCCCGCCCGCGGCGGCCCCACGCGGACACGTGCGCGGCCGCACGTGCCTCGGGCCGGGCCCCGCCCCGCCCCGCTCCCATTGGCCGCTGCGCCCCGTGAGACCCCGCCCCTTCTCTCCGGTTGGCTCGTTGCCGCCGCCCGGCTCTGATTGGCCGGAGGGCGGGGCCGGGCAGCGCCCCCTGACGGCTCCCGGGCCGCGCTCCCGCCCCGCCGGCACCGCCCCCGCGCTCTCAGCCAATGGGCGGCGGTCCCGGCGGCGCGTCTCGGCCAATGGGCGTGGCGGCCACGCCCCCCTCGCCGTTACATAACCGGGGCGGGGCGGCGCGTGGCTTCCCACGTGGGGGCGGGGCCCCGGGTGACGTCACGGCCGCGCGTGGGGGACCGCCCACGGGGCGGGGCTTCCCAGTGATGGGCGTGGCTTCCCGACGAGGGGCGGGGCCGGGAGCGCGCGCTGGGGCTCCCCGGGGCTCCCCCCGAGCGCCCCCAAACCCTCCCGCCACATCCCCCCCAAAATCCCTCCCAGGGCCTGAGCCCCCACCCCGGCTCTCCCCCCGGGAGGCTCAGGGTGACCCCAAGACCCCTCCACAAGACCCAGGGGCCCCCCTCAGGCCCCCCAAACCCTCAGAGCCCCCCAGAGCCCCATAAACCCCAGTCCTGCAAACCCCTCGCCCCACAAACCCCAGTCTACAAACCCCTCACCCTGCAAACTCCAGTCCTGCAAACCCCTCACCAACAATTCCAGAGCTCGCAGTCCCCTCTCCACCCTCCCCACACCCCGACACGCCGGGCATGGCCCCTCCAGCCCTCCCCGTCCCCCCGGGGGGGCCCGTCCCCCTGGGTGGGTATTTAGGGCCGGGCCGGTGGCACCCAACCCCCCTTGCCCCCCGCCATGCTGAGTGTGCTGCTGCTCCTGGGGGGCCTGGCCCCCGCCCTGCCCGCTGGTGAGTCCCCCCGAGGTGCCCCTGGCAGATCCCATTGTGGGGTGCAGCCCCAGCCCCCCTCAGGTGCCCGCGTGTCGGGGGGCAGCTCAGCCAAGCTGCCACCCCAATGCCTCCGCTCTCCCCAACAGGTCCCCACTGGACGTACGAGGGTGAGTGGGGCCCCACGCACGGACCCCCCCATTTATTCCCACTCCCCAAAACCTCCCCTGACACCTCCGAGCTGTGGGGCTCACATGGGTCTCCCCAGAAGGTGGGGAGGTGGATGGGTGACAGCCCCCCTTTAATCTTGGTGCCCCAAATGGGAAGGAACTGGGCAGAACACAGAAGACACCCCCCCAAAATGAGGGGGTGAACCCCAAAAGACAGGCAGGGGTGAATGGGTGCAGCCCCCCACTTTCCCCTCCTGCCCCCCTTGCCCCCCTCGCTCCAATGGTCCCTTTGTGCTCCTTTACATAAGGCTCCTGCTGCCAAATCCAATTAGGATCCGGCCTTGGCCAAATCCCGCTAAGCCCCATCCTGCCGGGCCCAGGGGACCCATGGGTGCCCCCCCGGCCCTGCGGGCTCGCCTTTGTCCCCGCTCTCCCGGCTGGAAGAAATGTCCCCAGCAGATTAACAAGGCCCTCGGGAACGTCACCCGTGTCCTGGTTTGGGGGGCACCGAGGGCGTTTTGGGTCACGGCGTGAAGCAGCCCCTGGGTGAGGTGAGGGGGGTCCCACCCGAGGTTTGGACCCCCCCAGGTCCCCACGGGCAGCAGCACTGGCACGAGGGACACCCGGAGTGCGCGGGCCGGGCGCAGTCACCCATCGACATCGCCACAGCGCGGGCACAGCCAGACCTGTCCCTGCCGCCGCTGCGGCCCGAGGGCTACGAGCACCCCGAGAGCGCGGAGCTGACCCTCGCCAACAACGGCCACACCGGTGAGCACCGGGGCAGAACCGGGCGCTCCCCGCTGTGCCAGCCCCGCTGACCCCGTGTTCCGCAGCCGTGCTGGCACTGCCACCGTCCCTGCGGCTCGAGGGGCTGCCCCACGCCTTCGCTGCCCTGCAGCTCCACTTCCACTGGGGCCGGCCCGGCCACGCCGCTGGCGCTGAGCACCTGCTGGACGGGCACCGGGCCCCCGCCGAGGTACCGGACACTGGGGACCGGCCGGGGAACAGCTCCAAAAACGGGGCTGGGGGCGGGAAATGAGGAGGGGAACAGGTTTGGGGTCAGGAAATGGCATGGGAACCGTGTGGGAAATGGCTGTGGGGAGGGGTGTCAGTGTGGGAAAGAGCGTGGGAACAGCGTGGAAAATGGGTTTGCACTGCAGGAATTCGCTGCAGGGAATGGAAAAGGGGTCCTGGTGAGGGAAACGGATCTGGGGATTGAAACGAGTGCGGGGAGGGGATGGGGTGCAGAAAAGGGTGGGAAACAAGAGCGGGAGCAGGTCTGGGAGCAGCAGCCGGGTAGCTGGGCAGGGGTTGGGGTGGCAGGCGGGGGGCTCAGGGGGTCCCCGCCGTGCCGCAGATGCACGTGGTGCACTTCGATGCCGAGCGTTTCGCCGACGCCAGCGCGGCTCAGCAGCACCCGGGCGGGCTGGCCGTGCTCGGCATCATCCTGGAGGTACGGACCCCACACCCACACACCCACCCACCCACCCGCGCTCCCCCAGCCCCTCACTGACCCCCCTCCCTCCCCCAGCTGGGAGATGACCCCCACCCCGCCTATGACAACATCCTGAGGCATCTCGGCAGCATCCGCTACGCAGGTGAGGAGAGGGAGGGTGGAACCCCAAATTCCCCTCCCAGCACGCCCCAAACTGCTCGCCCCCACAGGGCAGACGGTGGCCATCCCCTCCTTCAGCATCCGGGAGCTGCTGCCCGCGCAGCTGGAGCGCTACTACCGCTACAACGGGTCCCTGACCACCCCGCCCTGCTCCCAGAGCGTCCTCTGGACCCTCTTCCCGCAGCCCGTCCGCATCAGCCGGGCCCAGGTCGGTCCCGCTCTGGGGGGAGCCCCCCGTGTTTGGCGAGCGCTCCCCCAGTGCTGCCCCTTCCCTTCCAGCTGGAGCAGCTCCAGGGAAGCCTTTACTCCACGGAGGAGGGCGAGCCGGAGGAGCCCCAGCTGCTGGTGGACAATTTCCGAGCCCCGCAGGAGCTGAACCAGCGCCTGGTGCTCTCGTCCTTCCCCAGGGGTGAGCTGAGGGGTGGGAAGGGCCCCCTGCACCCCTCATGTGGCTCCTGGAGCCCCGGCTGGGCACGAGGTGCTGGCCCTGAGCCCGGCCTTTCCCTTGCAGAGCCACAGGGATACTCCACAGGTAGGGCCAGGCCGGGAGGCTGGGCTGGGCTGGGGGGTCACCCCCGGGCCCCCCTGACCACCCCAGGGCGTCACACAGGTGAGGTCATCGCCATCATCTTCGGCGCCGTCGCCGGCTGCGTCGGCCTCTTCCTCGCCGTCCACTTCGGGGCCAAGCGGATGCGGTGAGACCCCCCCACACCCCTCAGAGGGACCCCCAGAGCTGGGGAGACCCTGAGCTCCGTGCAGAGACTCCCCCCTCACCCGTGTTTCTGCCCCCGCAGCGCGAGGCGGGCGCAGGCACAGGACGTGGTGTTCAAAGCTTCCTCCCGCCGCTCGCCCATGGACGCTGGACACTCCCGCTGACCCCTGGCAAAGGCTGGCCCACCCACAGCCCCACTGCAAATAAAGCCCTTTCCCCCTCCTGGTGGCTCTTGGTGGGGTGGGAACGGGCGTCTTTGAGGGGTTTTGGGGCTGGATCTCGTTACCCCCAAGAAACCAGGGCTGGAGCAGAGCACAATGTGTGGAGTGACCCCTCTCCCCCCTCCCCTTCTCCCCAGCAGTCACAGCGTCCTGTGCTTTTGTAAAACAGTTTTACTCTTTATAAAAAAATAATTTACTCCCCGCTGTACCTCCAACCCTCCTGGGAGCTGACCAGGGGAAAGAAGGGCAGAGCATCCCAATCCTGGTGCCCCCCACCCCCAGAGCATCACCCCCATCACCAGTGCCTGCACCAGGGGTAGGGACCCCCCCCCAGAGCGACAAACACGAGGAAATGGGGGGGGTCCTGCCCTGAATTCCCCAGGCCTGGACTTCCCCCAAGGCATCTGGCCTTCCCCAGAGCCTCAAGCTGAGGGAAAGCTGTCAACAGAATCTGGGAACAAAGGGAAGAGGGTGGTGGTCAGACCCCAAAGTCCCCAGGAGCACCAGTCAGACCCCAAAAGCCCCCAGGAACTGGACAGACACAAATTCCCCCGGAGCAGGAGGGGTGAAGGCTTTGGCAGGAGTGTCCAGCTGTGGGGCCATGGCTCCCTCACCCCTCAGGAGGCACCTGCAGCGCCGAGTAGAGCATGGCCTGGCCCTCAGGCTCCTGCTTACCTGGGGGAAAAGGGGCGTTTAAGAAGGTGGGGGTGGTTTGGGGGTTTGTGGAAGCCCCCAGAACGTGGCCCCCATTCAACAAGACTCATCCGCCCCCATCCCAGCAGCTCTGACCGCCCCCAGCCCCCAAAAGTGACACCCCACCCCCTTACAGGAGAGGCACTTGAGGACGTTGCGGAAGGAGCCGCCAGCGGTGCTGAAGGCCCAGAGGCCAGTGCAGAGCGTGAGGATGAAGATGGGGCCCAGGCTGGCCTCGTACCATGGGTTCAGGAAGGTCTGGGGACACAGAGAGGCAGGTCACACCTTCCTGACCCCTCCAAGGGCAGCAAAAGGAGTGCCCAGCCCTGTGGAAACCCAGCTCAAACCCCTGCTGAGCTCTATGCCCCCAAATCCTTCACTGACCTCCTCCAGCCCGGGCACCCCAAGAGGCTCGGGGCTGTACCTCGCCCTATGGCCCCAGGCAGGGAGTGAGGGGGAGTGGGTGGGGGTTCGGGTGCCCCCCAGGCCTCACCAGCCCTGAGGTGAGCAGGTGGCTGCCCACCACCAGCCCCAGGCCCCCGGCGCGGCGCCGCTCGCAGGCGTCAAAGAAGATGATGCCCCAAAAGGTGTGGAGCAGCACCAGGGCCATGGTGAGGAAGGCTGTGGGGAGAAACACAGAGCCTTAGAACCAGAGCCTTCCTCCTCCTCCTCCTCCATGCCACGGCCCTGGCCTCACCAGAGGTGATGAAGTAGTACTGGGAGTCCCCATGGATCCCGACGGTGCCCGGCCCTGCAGAGTCTGCCAGGATGTTGGTGATGGAGAAGACGCCACTGATGATGCCGAAGGAGAGCCCAGACACTGTGGGGGAGCCGGGGTCAGGGGAGCCGCCACAGCCCCGGGCTTGGTGGGCTCAGGGAAGGGCAGGAGAGTTGAATGCAGCAGCCCAGGGTCTGCTCACCGTAAGCCATCCGCCGCAGGGAGATCGGGGACCGCCCGTCCTCGCTGAGGGTCGCCAGCCCTTCATCCGCCTTCCTGCCCCGCCAGGGAGAGAGCAGAGCGAGCAGAGTGAGCCCCATCCCGAGGAGAGGGGAAGGGAGAGCCGCGGGGAGAGGAGACCGCTCCGCTCGCTGCCGGGCTTTAACAGGGACGGGACTTTGTGGGGTTCCTCTGGACACAGAGCCCAACATCTGCTCTGGCTCCCCCAAGCCCTGGGACACCCCAGCCAGCGGCACAGCTCCCTGGGCTCGCTCTTACTTGAGCACTTTGAAGCAGGCGAACCTGCAGAGCTCCTGCAGCAGCACGGCGGCGGCGGCTCCGAGCGGCAGCAGCGCCGCGTCCTCCCGCCCGCTCAGCCGCACCCACACGGACCAGAGCAGCGAGGCCGCCAGCAGCGACAGCAGCCAGAAAAACGCCCTGCGGCAAACGGGACACCGGGCTGGGCACCGGCACCGGGCACAGCCGCCCGCTACCGCCGCGCCGGGACCCGCAGCGGCCCCGGAGCTGCCCCTTCGCCTCAGGGCTGCTCACGCTGCCAGCGGCTCCCTCAGCACCACCGGCACCGTCCCGGTGTCCCCGGGAGCCGCCACACGTCCTTCAGAGCACCCCCAAGGGTCCCTCAGCACCACCGGCACCGCCCCGGTGTCCCCTCAGAGCACCCCAAAGGCCCCTCAGCACCACCGGAACCGCCCCGGTATCCCCGGGAGCCGCCACACGCCCCTCAGAGCACCCCCAAAGGTCCCTCAGAGCACCCCCAAGGGCCCCTCAGAGCACCCCCAAAGGCCCCTCAGAGCACCCCAAGGGCCCCTCAGAGCACCCCCAAGGGCCCCTCAGCCCCCCGCCGGCTCCGCCCCGGCTCCCTCAGCATCACCGGCACCGCCCCGGTATCACCGGGAGCCGCCACACGCCCCTCAGAGCACCCCCAAGGGTACCTCAGCACCACCGGCACCGCCCCGGTGTCCCCGGTAGCCGCCACACGCCCCTCAGAGCACCCCCAAGGGTCCCTCAGAGCACCCCAAGGGCCCCTCAGCCCCCGCCGGTACCGCCCCGGCTCCCTCAGCACCACCGGCACCGCCCCGGTGTCCCCTCAGAGCACCCCAAGGGCCCCTCAGCCCCCCGCCGGCTCCGCCCCGGTGTCCCCTCAGCCCCGCCGGGCCGGCCCCGCTCACCCCGCCACCAGCACGACGAGGAGCAGCGGCTCCGCCGCCACCGTCAGCAGCAGGAGCGCGGCCGCGGGCCCCAGCGCGATGGCGGCGCAGCCCAGCAGCACGGCGGCGCCCATGGCGGCCGCGGTCAGCGCCCCCTGCCGGCCTGGAGGACCTGCGGGGGGGGGTAGGACCAGTCCCGGGACGGGGGGGACGCAGACCCTTCCCTTCCCTTCCCTTCCCTTCCCTTCCCTTCCCTTCCCTTCCCTTCCCTTCCCTTCCCTTCCCTTCCCTTCCCTTCCCTTCCCTTCCCTTCCCTTCCCTTCCCTTCCCTTCCCTTCCCTTCCCTTCCCTTCCCTTCCCTTCCCTTCCCTTCCCTTCCCTTCCCTTCCTTCCCTTCCTTCCCTTCCCTTCCCTTCCCTTCCCTTCCTTCCCTTCCCTTCCCTTCCCTTCCCTTCCCTTCCCTTCCCTTCCCTTCCCTTCCCTTCCCTTCCCTTCCCTCTCCTCCCAGAATTACTCTTTAAACTGGCATTTTTTCTCTATTCCAAGCCCCTCACATCTCCCATTCTGATTCCGTCCCCCACCCCCATGCTGCTGCTATTTACAGAGGAGCTGGGAAGAGCAGGAAAACTTTATTTAGATTAAAAAATTCCATTAGCCAGCAAGAACAGCCTGGACGGCTCCAAAGCCCCTCCCTCCAGATTCAACCTCCCTCTGCACTGATAGTGCCACAGGGAGTGCTGGTCACTGGAGCCATGAAGATTTTTCATCCATCTTCACGTCTCCTGCAAGGAAAACTCCAAACAATGTCCCCTCCAGCCTCTTCCGCAGGAATCCTGTGAATGCCATCTCCTGGGCACGGCATTGTTCAGGGAAGAATCGGAGTTACTGGCTGCCTTGGATTAATTTCCCTCCTTGTTTCACTTCCGCTTATTAAAGCTGGGAAATGACACAGCTCACCCGAGCGCTGCTGACTTCAGCTGCACCTTCCTCCCAGGACTTCTCCCCGACACAGCACCAGGCTCTGGATGCCCAGAGCATCCCTGGGATGCAGCCCCCTCAGTCCAGCAAGAACCAGGAGCCTCCTTCTTCCTTCTCTTTTTCTCCTTTTCCTTCCTTTTTCCCTCTGTTTTGGTTCACGTATTGAGTTTTCCCACAAGAAAGGTGTTCTTCCCTCGCTGCTCTGTTGTTATGGCAGATTTTGTTGGATTTTGGCAAAAAAAAAACCTTTTAATAATTAAAAATAAAGATATAAAAGTAGAAATATCAAGCAAAATAGGGATTTGGGGAATAGGAAGCAAGGCATGGAAAAGCCCTTGGTCTGCCTCTTTTCTGTGGCTGCAATGGGTTTGCTCCATTTTGCCAGATGTGAAGAATGAGTAAGAAAAAAGGCAAAAAGGAAAAGGAAAAGAAAAGGAAAATAGAACGGTTTCCTTTTCCATCCAGGAACACAATTCGAGCTCTGCACCTGGGATGCAGGATGCTGCTGGGAAGTTCCAGCTGGTCACAGCTAGGGAAGAGCAGCTGTTTCCCCCTTTAGCACCTTATGGCACATTTTATCCAGGTCCCTTTCCCTTCATGGATTCTCCAAGTTTTCCCAATTTTTGCAAGTCTTACACCATCACACCCAGTTCTGGAGTCAGTCCCAGCCCTGAGTCAGCAAATCCCACTGAATTCTGACTCCCACACCAAGAGTTTGTCCATCCAACCCCACCCACTCATCTGATAAGCCATAACCATCCTCAGGGATCTTCCTCACCCCTTCCCTCCCCATTCCTTTAATCCCAGGAATTAATTTTAACCCTTCCCTGCTCCCCCAGCACCTCCCGGCTGAGCCGCTGGCCCCAGCCCTGCTGGGATTCTTCACAACAAGTTCAAATTTCTGCTTGGGTTGGGATTTCTGAGTTTTGATGTTATTCTTGTGGAGGAGGGAGAGGAGGGTCTGGTGGAGAGGAGGATTTGAAGAGATTCACTTCCTGCTCGGCATTCCTGGGCACTTAACCCTTTGCCAAACATCTCCCTGTGGATGGGGGAAGCTCCTTCTGCAAAGCACAGGGAACCCCAGGGAGGCTGGGAACCAGCTTTGGGATGCACTGGAAAAAATTCTACAGTTGAGTCCACTGTTGGTAGGAAAAAAAGTCTGCTTTGGGGAATTTTGGCTTACAATTGATTAGAATCCTTAAAATCTACAGAAATCTTTGTTTTAAAATCAACAAGAGGCGAGATGAGCTTTGAGGCCATTCCCAACCCCTTCCATGATTCCACAGCCCTGCACCCCAAAAGAGAGCTCCTCCTGTACTATGCAAGACTCATCTTGTTCTTTGCTGGTTTTCTAACCTTCAAGAGTCACCAAAATATTGATTTTACAGCACGTGATTCACCTCTATCTCTTTTGCTTCACCTTTTCCTTCCTCCTCTGAGGATTCCCACCTGAATCCCGCCGGCTCCTCGCAGTTCTGCTATCGCCTTCTCCCCAGGGCGTTTTTTACCCACTATAAAATAAAATAAATCCATGACCATTCACGTTTCTTCCTCCTGATGAAGAAACTGAGGCACGGGAAGGGGAAATGAAGCCAAGACAAAAAAAATCCCCCAAGATTTTACGGGAAGTTGGGACGGACTCTGGCTCCCACTCAGCATCTCTGCCTTCTCTCCCTGAAGAATTTGCTATTTATAGCTCCGCTTTGCTCCTTTAGAACATAATCAAAACCATCCTCCCTCCATATGAGAACTCATCTAGCGGCACTAACCCTCCTGGGGGAAAACTTCCCGAAATTTGCAATTCAGCCTCTGCAAGGGGAAACTTCCAGCGGCGCGGACAGCGCGGGGAGCACGCTCAGCCCGGTGCCGCTCCGGTCCCGGGCACAAACCGGGCTCCCTCCCACGCTACCGAGGAGGCTGCTCGGCTCAGCCCCCCCGGCTCATTTCCTGCTCGGCAGCGTCCCGCGGAGAAGGAGCGGCGCCGCTCCGGCAGCCGACACCCAGCGGAGGATGATGAGGGTCTGCATCGCGGTGCTCCTGGTCCTTCAGTCCCTGCCGGGTAAATACACTCCCCGCCTTTTCCAGCCTTTTCTAAGCGTAGTTGGATTTGTATGATTTTTAGCTCGCTGCTCTGATTGTTCCCACACTCCTGGGATGTTGCGGGTGGGGAGGTGGGGGGGTCTGAAAGATCTTGGAGGGATTTTCTTGGAGAAAGCGGGCTGTGGGAAAAAACCACCGGGAATACGCGATGTAAATTACTGAAAGTTCCATAAAGACTGTGCTTAGAGAACAGTGGGATAGTGAACGTTTCCCGCATTGTGTTCAAATCATTTGCAAACTCCAGCTGGGAGCTATTAAGAGACACAGAGAAAAAACCCCAACAGGATTTCCTGAGAGTTACGTGGGCCGTTTGAGATGGGGAAGAGTGGAATCAGGGTATTGAGGGAAGAAAACCCCAATCTGGAGCTGCTTAAGGATGAGCACGATATTGTCCCATCTCTGGGAGATACAGAGCAGCACTGGCCGAGGGGAACTGGAAACTGCGGCTCTGTCATGCCCGAGAGCCTCTCTCTCTCTTCCCCTTTCTCTTCACCGAAGGAACAAATTCAAACATGAAACATCAGGGGATTCCCAGCTGGAAGCTCTTTTCAGGACAAGGTTGCACTGTTATTAGTGTGACTCCAGTGTAGACAAGAGCCAGCTTGGAGTGACTTTCTGGGAAAGCTCTGTGCTTGGATAAGGTGCCCCAGAGCTCAACGCTGCCGAGCATTGCCAAAGGATGAGCGTGGGAAGGAGCAGGGATGGGAGGCAGGTCCCGATTTCAGTCCAAATTTCCCCAAAAGCTCAGGGTGGGAGTGGGACAGGTCGAGGTGTTCGAGCCCGTGACGGGTGAGGCCGCGCTGTGTCCCTCTGGCAGAGCCCCAGTCACACCCTGGAGTCTTCAGACTTAGTCATTGTTTTCAGAAAATTCCCTAACTAGAATTTTGAAACTTGGGCTTCCCCGCCAGGCTTTGCCAGTGCTGAGAAATCAGGGATATGAGAGGAAGAAATGGGAGGGTTTGGAGAGGAACCTGGAGCTACAGCATGACTGACAGCATCATTCCAGCTGTTCATGGTGTCACTTATAATGACAGTACTATAATTATCTTATTTGTGACTATAAATGAGTATCAAACTATAAAAATCTCTTTTGTTTCATATCTTCCATTCTCATGAGTATCTTGGTGTATGAATCTGTGACTATCAGAACGTTAATATTCCCAATTAATTTCCTTTAAAAAATCCTCCCAAAACCCAAGAAAACATACAGAATGTTGTGTTTGGAATAGGGAATCAGCCACTCGCTCCAGCCGTGACAATGTCACATGGGTCGGAATTTATTTATAGTGGCTCAGCCCTAAGGAAACATGAAGGTCCCTTGTGAGCCCTTGGCAGCCAAAGGCACTGGAGCAGCTGGATCCTGGATGAGAGGCTCATCCCAGGGCAGATCCAGCCCAGCTCTGGGTCTGGGGTGCAGGAGCACAGCCAGAGGCTCCATCCCCACCACTGCATCTCTCACATCCACACCCAAAAACGAAGGAAAACCCCAGCTCTGGTCCGACCTCCCACACTTTTAGTTGGGATCTAATGATGGCTCAGGTTGTAAATCCATCAGTCCCACAGGAAAGGGGTTTTGCTCAAAGCACCAATAAATCAATGAAACTTCCCATGACCCAGCACCCACGGCTTGACCCGAGGCTCCTCGTGGTGATCCCTGTGTTGTTCCTTTGCTTTCAGGGAAGGCAGAGCTCCAAGATGACATGGAGGAGATCGCACAGGATTTATATGACTACATGGCTCATTTAAGTAAGAAATGCCTTTTTTTTTTTTTTTTTTTAAGCATTTTTACCATTTTCCACAAGCCACAGGAGCGAGTTGGGATAACTAGGGCTGGGAAGGGATTGTTGTCCAGATTAATTTGAGTTACACTGGCTGCTCAGGGGGAAAAGCTGGGTGATCTCAACCCAATCCCCACAGTGCCACCTCACCTGGAACTGTTTCCATTCCAGGCAATTACTATTCTTCCACAGAAGATTATTACTATGACAACATCACAGCAACCCCTGCCACGTACGTGTATGAGTTCGATTCCTACGAGGTGAGTTGGGTTTCTCTTGGTATTTCCCTAAAAAAACAGGTTTTCTTCACCCAAATCTCTGCCACAAGGAAAAATAAATGGATTAAACTTGCCTATTTTAAGACCACAGAACAAGTCAAGTGTCCATGAACAGCAATCATGGAATGGTTTGAGTTGGCATTTATTTCTCCAGTTTGCACAGAAACAGTGAGAAATTTCTTGTTTTCACAATTAAATACCATCAAAGCCATTCCAAGGAGGGATCTCTCTGCACAGGAGTTAATCCTATGCTGTGACATCCTAGGTTATTTCTTTTTCTCCACATCCAGGCAAACACCATTGGATATGTGGATTGGGACAAGTTGTTTCCAGAAGAGAATGCCACCACCAAGGTTCCAGAAGTACCAAACACAAAAGCTCCGGGGGATTCCAGGGATGCTAAGGACAGTCAGGTGGGTGCCTGTCAGCTCAGGAGCTCTGCCACAGGCTTTTAGCACAATAAAACACGGGACTTCCTGACTGATTTATTTTCCTTGGCTCACCAGGATTTCCAGGAGTCATTGGGATCGTCCCTGCAGGGCCACCTCACCCTCACCATCCTCCTCAGCTGCCTGGGTCTCCTGCTATGATGCCCAGACTCCTCCTCCAAAGGTACTCTGGGATTTCAACACTCACTCAAAGTGTGTCCTTGAACCCAGAGAAATCCAATTCTTTCTGAAGCAGCAACTTTCCAGAACAATGGAAAGATAACAAGCCCTTCCAGGCAGATAACAGCCCATCCAGCTGCGACATCAGGGAACTCCTCAGCAGCTCTGACCACCACTGATGGCCTGGAGAAGCTTTCCAGGGCATTTTCCCTGTTGGTATTCAGTGGGACCTTCACGGGGTGTGAGGAACCAGGCACCTCCTGCTGCTCCTCCACCAAAACACCATTCCCTAAAACCCTGGAACGGTTTGGGTTGGGATGAACCTCACAGACCAGCTGGTTCCACCCTCCTGCCCAGCTTCCTCCAAAGCTCCATCCCACCTGGCCAACTTTTCCCCACAGCTGGAGCTCTCCAACATCCCAGGAGGTGGCCAACCTCCATCCTGCCACACCCTGCTCACCTTTTTCCCTCCTTCCAGACACCGTGGCTGGGATGGCGACCAGGACATTGTCAGGTGTTGACGATGACATCCTCTCCACGAGGTGTTGTCTCTGTTCCAGAACTGCTGAGATGTTTTGTCTGGAGGTTTTGGTGGAAAGCCGATGCCGAGCATGGAGAGCTCAGCAACCTTTCAGTCCTTTCCTGTTTCCTTGGATTCCGCTGTAAATAAGAACCTCTGCCAATAAAATCCCCAACACCTGGTGCACGGCGTCTCATGGTAAATAATCCAGCACTGGAAAAACAAATGCAAACAATGCATGCAAGTGCTTGTCCCATCAGAAGGATTTCTCAAGCCTCTAAACCCAGCCAGGTGCTTCCAACTTTGTTTCTTCCAGAACTGCTCTTCACACTGTTTATTTTCCAAAACACACACAATATCTGGGTGTGATGAGAAGCTGGATCAGAAAACCTCCCACCAGCCCAACCCCTCCATGGAGAGCAAACTGTCGCAGAAATGGGTGATTTTGGTCAGGAAATCAGAGTTAAATTCCTTTTTGCGGGGGGAAAAAATGCAATCCCACACTCGGTGCCTATGTTGCTTTTCCTTGGGAGAGTCAGCAGGAAGGAGAGATGGAAAACTGGCCCAGGTGTGTCCAGGTAACCCTATAGGACAAAAGAGGTTGAGTCAAGCCAACAGGAGAACCGTGGTAGTCCCAGTGCCCAGAGCCCTCAGATCTCTCCAGAAACCTCCTGGATCCCGGGGGAATCTCCCGAGCCGCCAGAGCAGGTACGACCCATCCCACCTGCACCCACGGAGCAGCCCCGGGGCCAGCCCACCATTCCCAGGTTATCCAAGCCCACAGCCTTGGAAAGAAGAAAAGTTTTGTTTCCTGCAGAAGGTAAAAAGCTCGAAACGCGTTCAGAAGCGGCGGGAGGAGCGAGAGCGGATGCGCTGCCTGGCAGTGCCACCTCCTGGCTCTGTGCTGCCATAAAGGTGGATTGAGAAGAGCCAAGAACGCCCCGGAAAATTATTCAGAATCACACAGCAGTGAGATTTCCAACCCTGGAGTGGAGTAAAAAGCAATTAAAGGGAAATAAAATATGTGGATGAAGGTTATGAGTTTATTTCTAAAAGTCATCGCTCTAATGCAGACACAGAAGATAAACCAGTTCGTTGTAACCTGGCTTAACTATAAATTGAATCACTTTCAGAGCAAATCCTGAAACCAAATCCTCACCTTCCAGCAGTGTTTTGGGACAGCAGTGTCCTGACACAAACACACCACATGTGTGACAGCTGGACATGCCTTCTCTGCTCCCAAATATTCATCCAAACCTCTTTAGACCCAAAATGACACCATCCTCCCGGCTCTTTCACAAGTTCCTTTCCTACATTTACCCTTTTCCTCCCACTCTGAGGGTGGTGGCGGCTCCATGGCCACTTCTCCATGAGCAGCTGCCCAGGTCTCCTGGCAAACCCCTGGGATAAGCAGCTTTAACACAAAAGAGGATTTTCTCTGCAATTGTGAGAACCTTTCCCAGTTACCTCCCAATAGGAAGCAAGCAGAAGGCTCTCCAGGTCTCTGGTGTTCTCCAGCAGCTCCTTATCAAACCATTCCAGAAATATTTGTTCTGTGGAGTTTACACAAAGCTGGAACAAGCCCGAGATTCCCATGTTGGGCTGTTGGTTTTTGTTTTGTTTGGTTTTGTTTTTTTAATTCTGTCACCAAGTTGCCAAAATGTCTCCGGTTGTGTCTCTAAAGTTAAAAGAGTCAAGATGTAAATATTTAGAACTGTTTGTCCCAGAATTGTCCTGCCTGGGCATGAGGGATATCGGTGGCTCACAGGCTCTTTTCAAGGATCATTTTCCAGAAGAAAAGCTTCACAAGAGAAACACTCATTAATTATTAATTTTAAATAGGAAAATAATTTCCATAGGGACATAAATCCTATATATCCACCTGGGGAGATCTAAATTACATATATCCAACTAGAGGGGAATATAAATCCCATCTGTGCACCCCGGTGGGGTTATAAATCCTATACATGCAACCCGAGGGGGATACAAATCCCGTGTATCCACACAGAGCGGGATATGAGCCTAGATTTTAGGAATTGGGCTATTCCCCAGGTGTGTGAACCTGCATGCGTTGTCAGTGATGCCGTCAAGCAGCCGCGACCCCCGACCCCTGCCTGGGATGGCGACCAGGACATTGTCAGAGCCGCGCCCCCTCAAAGCTGCGACCCCCGACCCTCGCCCATCCCAGAGCCGCGACCCCTCAGAGGCACGGTCCCCTCAGAGGTGCGGCCTCCTGAGAGCCGCGACCCCCGACCCCCGACCCAACCCAGAGCCGTGAACCCTCAGAGCCGCTATCCCCTCAGAACCGCGACCCCCGACCCTCGCCCATCCCAGAGCCGCGATCCCCTCAGAGCCGCGACCCCCAACCCTCGCCCATCCCAGAGCCGCGACCCCTCAAAGCTGCGGACCCCGACCCCGCCCGCTCCAGAGCCGCGACCCCTCAGAACCGCGACCCCCGACCCCCCTACCCCAGAGCCGCGACCCCTCAGAGGCACGGCCCCCTCAGAACCGCGACCCCCGACCCCGCCCGCTCCAGAGCCGCGACCCCTCAGAGGCACGGCCCCTCAGAGCCGCGACCCCCGACCCTCGCCCATCCCAGAGCCGCGACTCCCTCAGAGCCGCGACCCCTCAGAGGCACGGTCCCCTCAGAGCCGCGATCCCCTCAGAACCGCGACCCCCGACCCCCTCCTACCCCAGAGCCGCGACCCCTCAGAGGCACTGCCCCCTCAGAGCCCCGACCCCCGACCCCCGCCCATCCCAGAGCCGCGACCCCTCAGAGGCACGGCCCTCTCAGAGCCGCGACCCCCGACCCCCGCCTACCCCAGAGCCGCGACCCCTCAGAGGCACGGCCCCCTCACAACCGCGACCCCCGACCCCGCCCGCCCCAGAGCCACGGCCCCCCGGCCCCGCCCCTCCCGCTCAGGGCGCGCGCCCCCGCCGGCCCCCGCGCGCCGCCACAAGCCCCGCCCCCGCGCGTCCTGACGGGCAGCGCGCTCGGCCAATGGCGCGGCGCCCCCCGCGCCAATGGCGGCGCGGCGCGCGGAAGCCCCGCCCCGGGGCGGGGCGTGGCCGGGGGGGGGCGCCATGCGCCGTGTCATGGAGGCGCAGTGTGCGGGCGGCCATTGACGGTGCCGGAGCTGCTGCGGAGCGGCGCGGCCGGGGCGGCCCCGGCGACCCCCGACCCACTCCCGGTGCGCTCCCGGCGCCCGCCGCAGCCGCAGCGACCCTCGAGGCCGCTCTCGGCCACCCTCCCTCGCCAGTGCGGAACCGCGGGAGGGGGGGCAATGGAGATGAAGAAGCGCATCAACCTGGAGTTGCGGAACCGGGCCCCCGAGAAGGTGAGGGGCGGCGGGGCCGGTGGGGCGCGCTCCCCCCGCCCCGTGGGGCCGTCGCTGCCGCCTCGGGCCGCGCAGGCCCGGCGGCACCGCTGCCGAATCTGGGTCAGCCGTGGCGCAGGGCCCGGCGGGGCGCGGGCGGCGCTTCCGGCGCGGCCCCGGGACCCGCGGGCCGCTCTCGTTCCCCCTCCGCCCGCTCTCTCGGGGTGCCCCGAAGTTCCCGGGGGGCGCGGCGGCCTCGGCTTCCCCCGACGTTAATCCGCCGCTTTCCCCCGGCCGCAGTAAACAGGTCACAGCGGCGGCCCCGGCCGCGGCCCGTCGCTCATTCCGGCGCCTTTAATTAGTATAATTAACGTCGTTTCCCGCCGCCCCGCCGGGCGTGCAGTGGGGTCTCTACACCCCCTCCCGCTTCCCCACCCCACCCCTACCCCCGCGCTTCCAACTTTCCATTTCTTAGGAAAGAGCCCCCCCCAAAAAAAAAAAAAAAAAAAAAAAAAAAGAGAAAAGATAAAAAAAGCCCCGAACCCCTGGCAAGGCGGGAGCGCACGTGCGCGGCGCGGCCCCGCGCTGCCCCCGCCGCCTCCCGGGCTCCGGAGCATCGCTCCCGCTTCGCCACCGGGGAAAAACCGGCGCCCGGTTCGCCCCAAGAGTAAAGTCCCGAGACGTTCGCTTTCCCTGACCCGCCGCACGTGCGTTTTGGTGGGGGAAAAACTGCCCAAAATTGTTATTTTAACGCGCCAGTGTTTGCGGGTGGCAGGTACCCGGAGAGGCCTCGTCGCGCTGCCAGCGTGCAGCTGCTGGGGATGAAGCTGGGAACCTCCCTCTCTTCCCAGCAGCTTGCCTTCAAATTTGGTGTCTGCATGGAATAATGGGCGTATTTTAACGAAAAAATAAAGTAATAGTGGGAAGCTGGCCCTGTGCTGCTTGGGGTCTGCAACACTCCCAAAATTTTGTTAGTGTGCAGGGAAAAGAAGAGTCACCTTGTGCCTGTCCTTTGCCAAGTGGATGTTCCACTCTAGATAAAATAATTTAAAATTAATTGGCTGCTTCTTGTTGCTGCTTCTCCAAGTAAGTGACCTGTATTGGTTATTGAGTAGCTTTGGCCCAAGGAAGTTTTTTATTTGGTTTCCATTAACCTCCTAGGACTCTCTGGGAAAATAATCTGGAGTCAGACAGTTTTAAGTTCAGAGAGAAACTGGTTTTATGAGTTTGGTTATGCAGAGTTAAAGGAGGAGAAGTCAGCAGTTGGTTGGCTACAGTGCTTCTGTGGGGAAGTGTACCAGTGTACTCTGTCGATGGAGTTTTGGGCTCAGGTGGCACTTTTTGCAGAGTTTAACATGTTCTTTAGAGGACTAGAAACTGCTGCATTATTTTTAAATTAGGTGGGTGATTTTAAATGAGGTGTTGGTGATTTCAGGGTAGGAATGTGGCCTGATTTTAAGTGAAGCCCCAAAGCTGCAGCCATTGCCCAGTCCCTGGGGTGGCTTTTGGGCAAGTGTGGGAATTCACTGCTGTGGCACCCACACGTGCCTCGCTGGCCTGTTTGCAGGTGACAGAGTTGGTGCTCGATAACTGCCGGTCCAGCAACGGGGAGATCGAAGGGCTCAATGACTCATTCAAGGAGCTCCAGTTTCTCAGCATGGCCAACGTTGAGCTGACGTCGCTGGCCAAACTCCCCACGTTGAGTAAACTCCGAAAGGTGGGTACCTCCTGCCTGCCAGCGCTTTGGGGTGACAGAGGCAGGGGTGACAAGCTGTGGTGGCCCTTTTCAGCACTCGTGGTCGAACTCGTGTGGTGCTGAAGGTGTTTTGTGGGCCTCTGAAATGTATTTTTAAGAACTGAAATAGTTTCGGGTGTTTGCAGTTGATTATGTCGAGTTGGGTTTGGTCAGCGACTCTTGGGGCAGTAACTGGTTGGACATTGTGAAGGTGCCTTGGTAGGAGGCTTTTGGGTCACTCAATGCTGGCAGTGAACTCCAGTCCTGGTAATTTAAAACTGAAGTACCCAAACCCATGAGACTCTAAGGAGCAGTTTATAATTCTCAACTTAAAGGAACTTTTTGACAGCCAAAGCTTGTTACCTTGGGCGAGTCTTTAAAAATTATTCCATTCTTAAAAGGACAACAATTAACATTGATGCAGCTGAATCTAAGGCTGAAAATCTATTTATTAATTCCTTTTTTTCTGTAAAATAGCTGGAGTTGAGCGACAACGTCATTTCCGGAGGCCTGGAGGTCCTTGCAGAGAGATGTCCTAATCTCACATATCTAAATCTAAGTGGCAACAAAATCAAAGATCTTGGCACTGTGGAAGCTCTTGTAAGTATGAAGTGGGAGGAGCTCTGGGGAGATGTAATAAGTACTAATTTTTGGCAAGAACCCTTAATATTTTTGCAATGGATTTGTACAAATGTTCATCAGTCTCGTGGTTGGCCCAGTTTCATGGACTCATAGGTGCCAGGGTTATAAGACAGCATGTGTAACCCCACTGCTGGAAAATGTGGCAGGAATGGGATGTCCCAAATCAGAGACGGTTTGGCTTGTTGTGTCTTTGAAGAAAAAGTGGCCAAGGTGTGTCGTGCTGAATCCCCTGTGCTTGTTTGTTAAGGTGTGTTTGTCTGAGGAGTTTCCATCAAAATGTGAAGTGACTCAGACACGGGTGTGATGCAGCCAGGAGTGGGACAGTGAAGCAGAGGAGGGAGCTGCCAGTGGTGATCCATTCACCCATTTTTCTGCATGACTGGGGTTTCTGTCCAGAACTGGGCTCTGCAAGCATAGCTCAACTTCCAAGGTTTGGGAGCTGTGTGGGAGTTACTCCACACGAGTGCCTTCCATGGGGATTTGGATTCAACTTGGACTGAACTTTGAGGGAGAAAAATTCTGACTAGAAACGAGGGATGATTATAAAGTATATTCTGTTACTCTTGGGTTGTGAGCCTGCTGTATCTGGAAGCCTTTTCATTTATTTTCATTTATTTTCAGCAAAATCTGAAGAATTTGAAGAGTCTTGACCTGTTCAACTGTGAGATTACAAACCTTGAGGACTACAGGGACAGCATCTTTGAGCTGCTCCAGCAGATCACATACCTGGATGGGTTTGATCAGGAGGACAACGAGGCACCAGACTCAGAAGATGATGATGATGGTAACTTCCTGAAACAAACTGGGGGCAGGAATGGGATGCTGGAATAAAGATCTCCATGTAGTATGGGGTCTCCCTGAGCACACAGTGCTGCTCATGCTCCTGAAGAGCAGAGTCCAGAGTGTGTTTGGTATTAGTGCACTGATACAGAGCAAAACCAAGATTCCAGTCCTGCAGGAGCCACCTGGGCTTAAGGGAATTGGACTAAAGATACTTCTGCAAAGACACAAATATTCTTGTTGCCAGCACTAAAGCCCTTTGTGCCACTGAGTGACACAGAGCAAGGGGACATGCACACTATTTTGAATAAAAAAATTACAATTTTACAGGGTTTTGTAATGGTTTCAGGTCCCTGCTTCAGTATAATACAAATTTTAGTTCCAAAAGCTTACCTAGTTCCTTTTGGTCCCAGCTTGGTTGCAATCCTTAAAGGGGCTGTTAGGGATGGCAGGAGTTTGTATTTGTAGCTGCTTCAGACATCAAGAGTTTTGTCTGAAGCTTGTGATGGAAAGATAATTGGGAGTCTTTCTTAGAGAAAAAGTGACAAAATTTAACTTGGTTACAATCACGGTCATTTCCTGTGCGTTGCCTGGATTTAGAAAAAGATTTAAATCCCCAAATCCTTCAGGAAAAAAAACTATTAGGACCAGCCCAGCCTGCAATACTCAGAGAGGAGTGAATGGAACTGAACTTGTGGTCTTTTATGTGTGTCCTTCACTGCAGAAGGGGATGAAGATGATGATGATGATGAGAATGAAGCTGGGCCTCCAGGAGAATATGAAGAGGAAGATGATGAAGATGATGGAGCTTCAGATTTGGGGGAAGGTGAAGAGGAGGAGGAAGTTGGTCTTTCATACCTGATGAAAGAAGAAATTCAGGTAAAGTTTGTAAATGTTGCCAAATGCAGGAAGCAAAGAGAAGCTCCTGTGCGGTTCTGTGGTTACAGAAAACAGTTCTGGTACAGTTCTCAGAGCACAGAAAACAGCCACCTTTCAGAAGGTGATGAGTAGACTTCTTGTAGCTATAAACTGGTCACACAAATTACAGGACAGCAGTAAAGCCCTGGGTCCTGCTCAGATCCTCCCCTCTGACCCTGCAAGGTCTCACCAGAATGGTGCCTGGTGTGGGGTTTGTGCCCCAAAGCAGCACCCCCATTTGGGATTGAAGGCCCCTGTGGCCACCCAGTCTTTTGAGAAGAGTTTCCTTCCTGCGGAGTGGGTTTAATTCCAATATTCCAAGGGCCGCTGTCAGAGGCTTGTTTCCCCATTTTGACTTGTCACACTCCCCTGTGTACAAAATTCCACCAAGCAGAGGGATAGAAAAACAAGAGTTGGGTTTGTCGAATTCTCTGGAGCTGATTGTTAATTCGTTTACATTCCTCATCTATCAGCTTTAGAACAAGACAAACCAACACAACTTATTAGTTTTCACAGTAATTTGAGAGTTATGCACCTTTTCCTCTAGGCCCTTACTGACTGTGGGTTCAAAGGCAACCTAGAGTTGCTGG